TATCAACACATATTGGAGAATTCAAGTATGCTCAATTCATTCCTTATCTTGCAAAATCTCTTTTCATCCAATGGCTTGGTGAATATACCGGCAAGTTGATCATCGGTGCCCACACTCTCAATTGTAATGTCACCTTTCATTTGGTGATCTCTAATAAAATGAAGGCGGATATCAATATGCTTTTTTTTTAGTGTTGAACCGGGTTGTTAGTTAGCTTGATTGCATTTTCATTGTCACATAGCAATGGCACTTGTTTGAATTTGATTCCAAAATCATCTAAAGTTGCTTTCATCCAAAGTAATTGAGCACAACAACTACCGACGGATATGTATTCGGCGTCGGCGGTAGATAGTGCTACACTATTTTGCTTCTTTGATGACCATGAGACAAGTGATCTTCCAAGCAATTGACATGTTAGCACTCACTAGAATCTAAATGCATATGCAATGAGTTTTGATAACTGCATTTCACAAATGAATTTCTCCTCTCTTCATAGTACGACTATCAATCCTAAATACACTCACACCCACTATTGTGTCTTGAGTGCCAAAAACAAAATGGCCCTTATCAAGTATACCTTTACCTTGAGCCCATTTTGTTTCTCTTTCTTCTTTCCAAGTTGGAGCATTTGATCATCATAGCCGACCACTCCACTTGGCTTTGGACCTAACCTCTCTTAGCTACACACACTTAGCAATTAGGTTAGACCAAATAGGTTTCATCAATTAGCCAAAACCAGACTAGGGCTTTTAGTCAGGCAGTTTTGTTGACGCTGACCGGATAACATCGTACGCCACCGACTAGACGTTCTGACTTAAGATAAGTACCCTTCCTATATCTGCATTTAATACAAGTTTCCTCCGCGGTGTCTATCTGATTATTTTTTCTCCATTCATTCTCCATGTTTAACATCTTTAAGATACTCCATTTGTTCTCCATCAACTCGCTGACCAGCCACGTTCTCATTCGCGTTATCCAGAAGCAGCCCTGTTCTCGATTTAGCACCTAAATGTGCATGGGCAGTAGCGCTCTACGTCATGGGCAGTCGGCTGCGGCCCCTCGGTGATGCCTATATTCCTAAGCATGCACGAGAGCTAAGCTCTCTATGCCATGGGGTGTGGGATAGCTGGGGCTAGTGACAAGATAAAGGACCAACTGGCAGTTCATCGTTTGTATTTTAAATACGATCACTTTATACAAGAAACGAACATAATGTTTAACAGTGCTGATTTTCTCCGGAGTTCATATATTTTATTTTTACATCATGTACTACAAATTCTACATATTTGTATTATAGGGGCCAGGTTTGGTCGATGAGCTTATTTTTTACGCTGAGGGACTGGATCAGTCAGGAAGGATAAGAGGATAATCGCCAACCAGTTGGTTGCACCATCTGGCACTTAGACTTCATTGCCGACCAGTTGGTTGCACCACCGGGCACTCGGACTTCATCGCTGACCAGTTGGTTGCACCATCTGGCACTCGGACTTCATCGCCGACCAGTTGGTTGCACCACCTGGCATTCGGACTTCATCGTCGACTAGTTGGTTGCACCATCTGGCACTCGGATTTCATCGCCGACTAGTTGGTTGCACCACCTGGCACTCGGACTTCATCGCCGACCAGTTGGTTGCACCATCTGGCACTCGAACTTCATCGCCGACCAGTTGGTTGCACCATCTAGCACTCGGACTTTGTCGCGGACTAGTTGGTTGGACTACTCGGCGCTCACTTCATCAGCCAACCAACTGGTCAGACTGCTCGTCGCCTGGGCTTCATCGTCAGCTACGCTGGGGGCTTGCCAGCTATGCTCGGGACTCCTCGGTTTTCGAATTCTTCGTGCAATAATAGCCAGCTAAGCTAGGGACTCCCTTGGTGGTCGGCTTCAAGTTAAACTGTTCGGACAAGATCAAGACGATGTTGCTCAGCGGATACAAGGCGCTTGGGGACTAGCTGTGGGGGGTATAACCTTGGATATCCGTAGGATATGACATGAGCCGCACCATCAGGGTTGGTCCAGCCCACAAGATCAAGACGCACGGCGCACGGCACTGGTCGGCGTGCACCGCAAGGCATCTAGAAGATATAATTTACTAGAACTCTTATAGGTGTTGTAATCCAAATATAATACCTACCATATAGCCGACTAAGATACTTTCCTTGTAACCCTACTCCTCTAGAGTATATAAGGAGGGGCAGGAGTCCCCTAGTCGGCATCCAGATACAAACCCTGGGCTTAGCCTAAAGACATCTCATCTCAGATCTCTCATTAGCTCATCTCAGATCTCTCATAATATAATCCACCAAAGACACAGGACATAGGGTATTCCGTCGACTTGATGGCTTGAACCTGTTTAAATCGCTGTGTCTGCACCTGTGTCACCATCCGGTTCCTATTACGCGCACCTCCACCTACCAACCTACTACCGTGGGTATATCCCTCGGTATACTGCCGACCAGGTTTCGTCGACACTCACCATGATGATCCCAAATCTCGTAGTTCTCCATGAAACCCCTTCTGACTAAGTGTGATCTTATCGTATTTGGATCCCGGCATACTATATGGTTCCGACAGTCACAACAGGGACAATATATGTCCTTTGTCTGCTTAATCAAAGCGTGTCTTTTAGCGGCTTTAATAAAACCATTCACATCTTGTATGTAGGAAGCTTCATGTCTTCGTTTCGTGTACATCCATGACCTGTCCATATGTGCCCTTCGAAAAGAAAAGGTGTATTTGCATCAAGGTATTATTCGCATATAAATGTTGAAGCAATAATGGATGTCTATTTTTTATACAAATATTATATTATTCTAGACCTAAAGCTTAAAAAATAATAAAGTAAATATAAAAATTAACTACAGTTCATGTGAGCCAAATAAGTTGGGCAAACATGAGTCTAAATTGGTAGGAAAATAAAAAATCAAACATCATGCATGTCTCTCTCTGGATCTCTAAGTGAAAGAAATTAGTGAAAGAAATGTATATGTAAAGTTTGAAAAGCGTTTAGGGATGCCACAATCTCATCTCTCAGACCCAACTCCTTCAAAAGTTGAAAGGGAAAAACCTCCCCCTCTATTTTTGCTATTTTTCGCCCTCCAAGTGAGCTGAAAAATGGTGGTCCGCAAACTGTCCCGAGGAGGAAGAAAGGGTATTTAGGGTGTCATTTTTAGGGGCGGTTGACTAAAGAGAACCGCCTCTGTTAATATAGCTGTAGGGGCTGTTCTCTTAAGGAATCGTCTTTGAAAATAGGTTTTTTTAGGGGCGGTTTTGTAAAGAGGACCGCTCCTGAAAATGGATCTTCAGAGACGGTTCTTTTAAAACAACCATCCCTAAAAATAGACCTATTTCTAGAGGCATTTTTCGTAATGGAACCGCCCCTGAAAATGGATCTTTAGAGACGGTCACAAAGCTACAGTGCCCCTAGGCGCGGTTAGAGGCGGCGTGCTAGTTGAACTGCTTCTGATAGAAAAGAGTGGCGTCGCTAAAAATCATTTTTGATAGAGGTATCAGTTGTGTGAGAGTGTAAGAGAAGGGAAGGGATGATAAGAGAGAGAGAGAGAGAATGAGTGGCGGCCGGGTAGGAGATATGCGCCTAGGGTTTCCTCTGATGGGCTAAGGTTGGTCGGATGATATATTGGGCTTAGAGACTATTTTTAAATGGGCCTCGTTTACAGAGACAGACTTACTAAAAGACCCGCCTCTATTAATTTATTTTCAGTGGCAGTAGTTTGCTGAGTGTAAATGGGCTGAGACCCACCATCTCTGAAAAAAATTTCGAGAACACGCTGAACGCGCCTATTTCGTTGAGGAATGGAGGTTTGTAATACAAAGCTGGACAGAAACCGACTCGCACACAAGCTGTCTACGAGCAGCAGGCAACGCCTTGTGTGACAAACATGCCAACCTAGACACTACCCGACACTACCCGTGATTGATTAGTCTCGATTATACGTACGTAGAAGAATTTTGCAACACAAAGACGTACGACAACAGCCACACAACCCACCGGGATCTACCGTCTACGGCTCATTCACTACCGTCCCTCGCCGGCGACGCCTCCGGGGAATAGCTCCCGCATTGCCTCGTCATCGTCAGCCACTGGGCGGCGAGGCAATCACGGGCCGCTAGCTCGAGGGAGTCGATGAAGTGGAAGGACCGTCTCATGGGGCGATTGGGCCTGGGGGAGCTCGCAATCCGTATGAAATTAATTTCCCGTCCATCCTCAGCAGGCCCGGTTTCCTCCTGCATGCACGGCCGCCTCGATCGGAGCCGCACACTCCACCGTCCGTCATCGTCAGCACACTCTTTCCTGCACTCGCTTCGCCATCTCCTCCAGCACGACGACCTGCTCCTGGACCAGAGCATGTATCTATCGTGGATCCACAGAAGGACCCGCCAAGCAGCGATCCTGGGCCCTTATCCGACAAGGAGTTGTTGGTGACATGAGTCCATGCATGCATGACAGGCTGGCCGGGGGGCTGTGACAGGCAGCGCAGCACAGCACAGCACAGCGTGGGGGTCGATCGAACTCCAATCGGTTCCCACGAATCCCTGCTGGCGGGGAACGTAAGCAAACTCAAACTCATGTCGTGTACTGTGTTCCCATGCCCCCGTCGCAGGGCACGCCACGCGGAAGTGCCAGGAAAGGCAGGCAACGGCTCGTCTGAAAATTGCTGCTATATATCTTTGGAGCCAGGGACACATACGTTTTTGCTGCCTCTGTATGTATGTAGATCAAAAGAGCTGTCTCTTAAAATCGTTTTTTTTTAGTAGTGTATGTAGGATCTCGTTTCCATGCTGTCCCTTGTTGGCTGCCCAACCACAGGCATGTCTGAACTCATCGCCCTCATTCTTCTTCCACGTTTCTCATAGGTAGGAGTACGACCAAGAGCAGTTTCGTTCCTTCCGGTTGTTGCTTGCCATGCGTTTGATTCCTCGGAAAAGCAAGCTCTGAAACCTTCATAAGTCGTACTCGTATTTTCGTCATGTGCAGAAGATGAAGTATGTACTAGTGACTGGCGGCGGCGGCAGTGGGATAGGGAAGACTGTCGCCGCCAGCAGCATCGGTGTCATCCTCAAGGCCTGCAGTCTGCGCGTCACCTTCATTAAGATAGGCATGTTCTTCTCTACGCCCTTCCTGACGAATTTCCCTGTGATGCTGTTTTGTTGACTCAGACTAGACATGTCCAGGATATATAGTTCATCTTCTGTACTATATATTTTCCCCCTATATATGGAAACATTTCTCTATTTTTGTTGAAAACCAGTTTGATGTAGCTAGTAACTAAAAATTGTCTGTACCATAGGCATACTCATTCTAGAATCCCCATTTTAACTTTCCTCTGTACTTGTACTTGGTGAAATATGTGATTTGTTCACATGCATGGCTCTCTTTATATTACTTGCATATTCACATGCCGCAACACATTGATTCATTCAGATCCATATTTGAATACTGATGCTGGAATTATATCTCCTGCTGAGCGCGGGGAGGTTTTTGTTTTGAACGATGGCAGCGAGGTAAGAGCAACACCAATCTTCTATTCTAGTTCCCATCCTTACCTGTGTCATCGCATCAGTTGGATCGGATAAAAGTAACTATATAGTGTGACGGTAATACTCTCCCCCGTTTCAATATGTAAGTTGTTTTATTTAGTTTTATTTTAAGTCACACTTGTCTAACTTTGACCAAATTTATAGAAAAAATATATATATTAACATCTACAATATCAAGTAAATTCACTATATATCAAAATAAATTTCATGGTGCAATCTTAATGAGTCTTATTTGATGTTGTAGATGTTTATGCATTTTTATATAAATTTGATCAAAGATAGAGAAGTTTGACATAAGACAAAGTTAAACGACTTGCAATTTCAAATGGAAGGAGAATATTGTTTTAATTTTATGAGTGCTTACTTGATTGATGCTAGCTAATCCACAAATTAAAACTTGGATGAAAACGACATTTTGTTTTCATTCCAGGCTGATTAAAATCATGATGATATGATATGATATAGGTCCACATGGATCTTGGAGACTACGAGAGATTCCTGGATGTCGAATTGACGGGAGACAACGACATAACAGCTGGCAAGATCTATCAGGCACTGACGTTATCATATTCTATGCAATTTGTATCTAGCTGGCACTGACCTTATCATATTCCTATGCAATTATTTGTCGATGTGGACAGATTTGTTGTCTGTTTCCTGTGACGTGGTGCCTCTCTTGATTCTTTGCAGTCTGTGATAGATAAGGAGAGAAGAGGAGATTATCTAGGGAAAACAGTTCAGGTTTGTCTGTGTAGTCCCAAAGTGCCTATCATAGTTTGAAATGAACTCCATGCCGTGGGTATGTGATTTAAGATGGGAGGGGTAAATTGGATCAATACAAACTTTTCTAACTTAGCGCTCTAACTTGATGCTACACTAGTCTAAGCTACTCTAGAAAAGATAAAGGCACACAAGTGGAATCATAAACACAGTAAGTAAAGCTGAAGTGCGCAAACTTCCGAGGCGCGACGATGTATCCCATGGTATCGGTTGCCAAAATGTAACCCCTAGTCCATATTTGAGCTCCACAAATGACGATATGCTTCCTGTTACCAAGCCTCCCCCGATTATGGTAGGCTCCCGCCAACCAAGACAAATGTCATAAACCACCTTGGCTCATCACTTGTTGCCCGACTTTTCCGGTCACCTTGGCACCATCCACTACGGAGCTTCTTCATCAAGGACAGGATCTCCTCCTTCCCCACTCACGGTGTCACTGCCGCTCCGCACCAAGCTCAGAGGGTCGTTAACATTACCGGTGAGCCATCAAGGCTCCAAGGATCCGGTACAAGAAGATTACAATAGCATCTATCTCACTCTCTCAAACTAAGACTCAAACAAGCTCTAGATCTAGCACTAAGCATAGAGTTAAGGCCTGGAGGTAATCTTTCAGCTATCATATGGTGGATAGTGTGTTCTACACATATAATAGTTTTTTGGGCTTCAATGGACTCCCAACACGCCCCAAAATAACTGGTTATACGGGTATATACAGTTCCTACACCGAAAACTAGCCGTCGCAAATCTACGAACCGTCTGGCATGTGTAATTTGGCTTCCACCTGAAAGTCCGGTCAGTGTAGCTGTTTGCACTAGTCTTTGCAACTTTTGATTGTAGGGTGCATCTTCAATTGTCCTGTGCCTTCATATCTTCACCATTGAACTGTTCAGTTGTGCTTTACTCCAGTCCAAAACACCTAGCTTGTATCGTTCGTCCAGCGACTGTCCGGGGCCTCTCGTCACCTTCATGGGATCATCCAGTCTTCACACTTGCACAGTAACTTTACCGTTTGTCATCACCGAACCATTCAATAGTCTGGTACCTTCATATTCCAGAGATGTGTTTACCCGCAAAAAAATATTCCAGAGATGCGGACCATCTGGTGCTCTATATTTTTCTGGTTTTGCTGATTTTGACTTGGTTAATTCTTTCTGGACTTCGCATCAATTTTTTCACCTCACTCCCTAGGATCTAACATAATCTATGAATCATATTTTAGCAGAAATGTTAGTCCTAGTTGATTGTTTTGTTATTTTAATCACCAAAACCATTGAGCAACATGGCATAGAGCCTATGTTAGCTACATAGTTTTTGTGCTGATCTCATCTATTTAAAATGTTTTGCCTATCATAGTTTATGTGCTCTCATCTATTTAAAATGCTTATGGAAGTTGCAAATGTATTTTTCTCAACATTCTAAGATTGTACCTCACATTACGGATGCAATACAAGAATGGATCAAGCGTGTCGCAATGATTCCTGTTGACGGGAGAGAAGGGCCACCGGATGTTTGTATCATTGAGCTGGGAGGGACAATAGGTTTGGGAATTATACAGACCAATTTTCTGATGATATGCTCACCTAAAATCTTGTAAAATCTTTTTATCCTTAACCGTGCAGGCGATATTGAATCGAGACCATTTACTGAAGCTTTGAGCCAGTTCTCATGCCGAGCTGGTGATATTTCTGTATAGATTTTACCCAATAAATTGGCTGCCTGGTGTTTTTCATCTAATTGCTTGGGCTAATATTGTCTACTTATGTACTTTAGGTCCAAAAAACTTTTGTCTGGTACATGTCAGTCTTGTTCCTGTTATAAACGTGGTCGGAGAACAGGTAAAATATCAAAGATATCTATTGTTTGGTTTTCAATTTTTTATGTGATTCATTTTATAAAATATCAATTATGTGAGTCACTAAATTTTGTTTCCTTCTATGATTCTATCTGAAAAAATACAGAAAACTAAGCCTGCCCAATACAGTGTTAGGTGCCTTCGAGACCTTGGATTGGCACCAGATCTACTGGCCTGTCGTAGCACAACAGTACATAGCTTTTTGTTCTCTAGTTGCAGTCACACCCGACATTTGATCATCTTATTCTAATAATGGTATTAATACGCTGCTTTTATTATATGTTTTGTAGCCTCTGAACAAAAATGTCAAAGAGAAGCTTTCACAGTTTTGCAATGTTCCGGTATGAGACTATGGAGGTCATATCGAGCACTATTTTGTCTGTTATGAAGCAATTATTCAGCATTCATATTTTATATATATGTGCTTTGAATTGAATCCTTAAACAACATTTACAGGTTGAATGCATTATTACCCTACATGATGTTCCAAATATTTGGCATCTCCCTTCACTTCTTAAAGTGCGTTATGTATTCCATATGTTTTTACCAAAATTGGGAAAACACTGGTCTTTAAACACCAGTTGTTGCAAATATAATCGTCTCCATTTCTGATGTCAGGATCAGAAGGGTCATGAAGCTATTTTAAAAATGCTAGGACTTGCATGGTTAGCCCTTTGAATTTTCTGGATTAAAACACAACTCGTAAAAGGAATGTATCACTTATCTTATTTTGTTTCCTTTTTGTTATCCCATTTGTAATATGCAGCGTAGCTATAGAACCTAAGTTGGATGAATGGATGAAAAGGACTACATGTGAGCACCTCCATGATCCAGCGGTATATTCCCATACACTGTATCTTCCTTTTCCTATAGTACTGTCGTATTCTTCAGTTTATCACATTAAATATATAACAAGCTATATCTCATGTTTCTCTCTTCCTTTTGCATTTCAATGGAGCACAATTTTTTGCAGGTCAAAATAGCGGTAGTTGGAGAACACCCTTATCATGCCAATGCATACCACTCCGTCTTCGAGGTTAATGATGATCCTTGACTTTATTTTATTCTATTATTGGTGAGGATAGGATCCTTGACGTTTACTGATTATAGTTCTCTCCAATCTCCTTTCTCCACCAAAGGAAAAATAATTGTACATTCATCAAGATATTTATGCATCCAGGCCATCCGCCACGCGTCAGTTGCTTGCCAGAGAAGGCTTGTTGTCAATTGGTTCCCTGCTTCAGACGTAGTACAAGAGACTGCAGAGGTTTCAAAAGTTCCGTCATATTCTTGCGTTCAACATCACTGCAGTTGCTGTCATGGTTTATTAATCATTCTGTCAATTCTTTTGATAGTCACCAGACCTCCATGATAAGGCATGGAGCCTACTCAAGGTGACATGCATACTTGTATACTATTAAAAGATAAGTATCAGATATCATTGTTCGTCCAATATGATACGCAATAACTGAGATGCAAAAAATCTTTCAGTGTGCAGATGGAGTCCTAGTTCCAGGAGGCTTTGGTCATGTTGAAGGCAAAATTCTTGCTGCTAAATATGCCAGAGAAAACAATGTCCCATACCTAGGCATATGCTTGGGGATGCAGGTTGCCGTCATAGAGTTTGCACGATCTAATCTTGGCCTGAAGGATGCAAACAGCGGAGAGTTAGATGCTGGCACAAGACATCCTTGTCTAATCCTAATTCCCGAGGTAACAGTTGTTGCAGAATTTCTATGGGCTTGCATTTTTTTTACATGTCCGTTTCATGATGTTACTGCCTGAATGAGTATGGAAGAGTTCGGAGACACTTATGCGTGTGGGAACAAAGAGGACTTTCTTCAGAACAACGGACTGTAAAGCTGCTAGGCTGTATGTATCTGGTAGATGCTTTGTGTTAATTAGGTTCTGTCTACACTAGTAATTGGGACTTGGTTTCTGTGTTCTCACAACAGATACGGCAATGCAAAGTACGTGGATGAACGCCAAAGACATAGATATATGGTGAGAATCATTGCCCAATATATATGGCATTATACTGTTGGCCAGGAACCACGAGATGGATTTCAGATTCAGATCGGATCTAGTAAAGTCAGAGGGCCGCTTGTCCTTGGCCGCTTGTTGGAATTGAAAATGCAATGGCTTGTCTTTTACAGTAGTATTGTCCCTACTTTTATGGGCAAGGGGCAGAGAGCATCTTCTACTTTCTACCTAATCCAGCATATCTCCTAGCCACTAAAGTGGATGCTGAGCATATTCCTAAATGCAAAAGTAAATTGCAGAAAGGTAAGATACAAGTGCCGAGCACTAGGCTTATCTATCATTCTCCTCCTAAGCCTTGTGCTGAGCACTGGAAGTGATCTGTTGTAGCCCAATCCTCTCCCTCATCACCTGGAACTTAGACTTTCCCGGCGACTTGATGAGGATATCAGCCAGCTGATCAGTGGTGGCAATGTGGCTAGCCTTGATGCTCCCATCCCTCAAGCAATTTCTGATGAAGTGGTAGTTGATGCGAATGTGCTTGCTTCTTTCATGAAAGATAGGATTCTTGGCCAGAGCTAGAGCAAACTTGCTGTCCACCTTAAGCTCAACCACATCCACATTCCTGCCAAGGAGCTCTGCCAGCATCCTTGACAGCCATAGTGCCTGAGTTGCTGCAGTGGTGGTGGTGATGTACTCTGCTTCACAGCTCGAGAGGGTCACCACCTTCTGCTTGAGAGACTGTCAGCTGACCAAGCAACCACCGAGGAAGAACATGGTCCCGGTTGTGCTCTTGCTAGTGTCCACGTCTCCGGTGAGGTCACTGTCGCAGTAGCCGACGAAGTGCGCTGTGTCGGGGGCCTTGCCGTAGTGAAGACCGTAGTCGAGGGTGCCTGCCACGTAGTGAAGGATGCGCTTGATGGACCAGGTAGCGCAAGCTCCCGATCAGCCGCCAGTAGTGTGTGGAATCGACCTCCTCCGCCGTGCTGTCACGACTGAGCTTGAGCCGCTCCTCCATCGAGGTGTGGGCTGGATTGCAGCCGTCATGCCACCGAGCTCGAGGATGCGCTTGGTGTAGTGGGTTTGGTGGAGGGCGATGCCGCTGGCGTCTTGGCGTACTTCGATGCCGAGGTAGAAGCAGAGGAGGCTGAGGTCGCTCATATTGAATTCCTTCTTCATCTGCGCCTTGAACGCCTCCACTCTGTCTCCTTCAGCGCCGGTGATGATGAGGTTGTCGACGTAAACGCCGACGAGAAGAACAGAGCGCCCGTTGCCCTGCTGGTACACTGCCGCCTCATGCGCGCTCTGCTGGAAGCCCATCTTCTTGAACGTGGTGTCGAGCTTTGCGTTCCTAGCTCGTGAGGCCTGCCGTAGGCCGTAGAGGGCCTTGCTTAGGCAGTACACCTTGCCTTCTTCTCCGGCGACGGTGAAGCCCGGTGGCTGGCGCACGTACACCTCCTTGAGGTCGCCATTGAGGAAGGCATACTTGACGTCCATGTGGTGGACTCGCCAGCCCTCCTGAGCCACCAGCGCGAGGAGGACACGGACTGGCTCCATGCGCGCCACAGGGGCGAAGGCGTCGTCGTAGTCGATCCCCTCTTGCTGGACGAAGCCACGCGCCACCAGCCGCGCCTTGTGCTTGATCACCACGCCCTGTTCATCCTTCTTGAGCTTGAACATCCATTTGAGGGTGATGGGGCGGTGGCCGCCGGGTAGTGGCACCAACTCACAGGTGCACTTCTGCTCGATGGACTTGAGCTCCTGCTCCATCGCCGCCTGCCACGTCGGATCACCCTGCGCCTCAGCATAGGTGGTTGGCTCACTGGCGTGTGTTAGATGAAACTGGGCAAAGAGCCGCTCTGCCTGGCCTGATGCAGGCTGGTCGTCGAGGATGTTTGCCACCGTGTGGTACCGCAGGGGCTCATCATTGTAGTAGGCGTCCAATCGGTCTTCATTGTCCTCCAACGGAGTCGCGAACTCGATCTCAGACTACCGACCAGTGGGCGAGGCAGGAGATGCCGCGGTCGGGGACGAAGATGGTGTGGTCGGATCGGCTGCTGGTGAAGTTCTTTCAGCCACCGACCAGTCTTCGGTGTTCAGAGTGGGTGCTGATGTTGCCCGCTGCGGATTCCGATATGGTCTACTGCAAAGCTTAAGTGGCCGGCTAGGTTGCTGATGAGCTACCAACCGCCACCGATGAGTTGCCGAGCTCCCCCGGATTTGGTGATGGCGAGCGCGGAGGAGCTGGCGAAGTGGTCAGCAAAACTGGTGGAGTGGTCGGCGAGGCTGGTGTAGTGGTCGGCGAGGTTGGTGCAGTGGTCGGCGTGACTCTAGCCCACACATACTCGACGGTGAAGTCACGTAGAGCTATCGTCGATCCATCATTAGCTGCCTTGTCCCACTCCCAGCCGCGACCTTCGTCGAACACCATGTCACACACCACTCGCACACGCTGCGTCACCGGGTCGAACACGCGATAGGCCTTAGCCCCTTTAGTGTAGCCGATGAAGACCCCCAGTGAGCTGCGATCGTCGAGCTTGTTGACATGGCCGAGCTCCTTGATGAATGCTAGGCAGCCGAAAACACGTAGATAGCTGACCGCCGGCTTGCGCCCGTGCCAGGCCTCATACAGCGTCTTGTCGTCGAGCACCTTGGTCGGTGAGCGGTTCAGCAGGTGCACGACGGTCATCACGGCCTCACCCCAATAGATTGTCGGTTTGCCCTGCTGCTTGAGAAGTGTGTAGGCGGTGGCAACCACTGTCTGGTTGCGGCGCTCGATGATGCCATTCTGCTGCGGAGTGGACGGTGTGGAGTAGTGGCGCTGAACCCCCTCGTTGGCGCAGTACACCATGAACTCAACCACCGTAAACTCGCCACCGTTGTCCGTGCACGACACCCAAAGCTTGCGGCCGCACTCCTTCTCCACAGCTGCCTGATGACGCTTGATGGCGTTCGCAGCTGTTGCCTTGGTGTCGAGCAGGACCGCCCATATGTAGCGGGACATGTCGTCAACAAGGAGGAGGAAGTAGCGCCGTCCTCTAGGTGTGGTCGGAGTCACTGGTCCGCAGAGGTCGGCGTGCACGAGCTCCGACTCTCTGCTTGGTGTGGAAGCTCACCTAGCGGGGAAAGGGGAGCCACCGCTGCTTAGTGAGGACACAGGTGTCGTAGAACTGCTCCACATGGTCGACGCGCGGCATGCCCAGCACTATCTCCTTATTGTTGAGTAGCTTCAAGGCCTCGAAGTTGAGGTGCCCGAAGCGCTCGTGCCACCGCTAGGCTTCGTCATCACGGTGGGCTGCAAGACACACAGGCTGCGCCACCTGCATATTGAGAACATAAAGGCGATTGGTGCCTCTGTTCACCTTGGCGAGGAGTCGCCGACCGCGATCATAGATGCGCAGTATTCCGTGCTCGATCTCCACACGTGAGCCATTCTCATCAAGCTATCCCAAGCTGATGATGGAGTTCCTCAGCACGGGGATGTAGTAGACACCGGTGAGCATCCAGTGCTCGCCAGTCTTGGCAGCGAAGACGACGGAGCCGACGCCCTTGATCTCCATGGCGGAGGCATCCCTGAACTTGATGGAGCCTCGCACGCCGGAGTCCAAGTCAGAGAAGAACTCACGCTGACCAGTCATATGGTGGGTGGTGCCGGTGTCGAGGTACTAACCGTCGATCTTGTCATTGCCGGGGCCAGTGTCGAGGAAGGTGTGGACACGTGACTCGTCGAGGTGGAGCTGAGCGGAGGCAGCCGACGTGGGAAGGGAAAAGCTTGAATCTTTCTCCTCCTCCCCTATTACTCGTCATAGTTGAACGCACCCATGCACCAAGAACAGGGTATGGACCCCCTCCTCTGCTTGCACGATGTGAGCCTGCCCACCGCAGCGTGGAGGAAGGCGGCAGTCCTTGGCCCAATGGTCGGTCCTACCGTAGTTGAGAAAGGTATCATCCCGGGTCGCCTTGTGCTCAGCGACGGCGCCGCCATCAGCACCAGTCTGCGCCCAAGGTCCTTTCTCCTCCTTCTTGATGCCGCGTGGTCGGCGATGATGCTCCCAGGGTGGACCAGAGCCAAAAGCCTCGTCCTTCTTCTTGTCGAAGGTCCGCCACTGCTCGGTGGTGTAGAGTAGCTTGCCTCCGGCGGTGCTCGGCTCGGTGTGGGGTGCCTCCTCATGATCTTGCACCACCTTGATCCTCGCGATGACCTCCTTGATGGAGAGCACCTTGAAGTCGAGGAGCGTCTTGATCGCCAGCATGTTCTGGGAGTACTTCTTTGAGATGCAGCGTAGGAGCTTCCCCACCGCGCGAGCGTCGGTGATGACAGTGTCGCCGTTGTGCGCCATCTGCTCCTTCAAGCTAGAAAGGCGAAAGGCAAATTCCTCAACTTGCTCACCGAGGTTAAAGGCGAGGCCTTCCCACTCCTGTCGAAGCCGCTACAGCGTTGCTCGACGGATCCGACCATCGCCGAGGTGCGCGGTGGCAATAGAGTCCCAGGCCTCCTTTGTCGTCGCCTTGTTGGCGAGGGAGGTGTCGATCTCTGGCGGCATGGTGGCACACAACGCCTTCAGCGCCCGCCGATCGTCGTGGAACTCGACATCTCTAAACTCGACTGCGTCCCAGATCTGTCGGGCCTGTATCTTGACCTTCATCAACAGGCTCCATTCATGGCAGTTGGTCCGTGTGAGCATCAACCATGGCGTCCTCGCTGTGGAGTTGCGGTAGATGGTCTGCACCACCGGCTGTGCCACCGGCGGGCGGTTGCGGCGTCCGCGACGCCGCTCTGGTGACGGCGACTGAAGACGACACCCTACTGGGCTTCGCGATCCATCGATCGGCTCCCGCTTTGTCGCTGCAGCTGTGGCTACCGTGGCTTGAGCCGCAGCCGCCGCCTGCCTAGCCATCTCGATCGCTACCGCTGCCGCTGCCTCTTTGGCAGCAAGGTGCGTCGTGCGATCGTCGACTCCTGCTGCTGTACCGCCGGGGTTCCTCACCGCACCGGCAGCTGCAACAGCGGCGCGCGCTCTCTCGATCTAGCTGGCGGTGGACATGGCTGGTCACCGTACTCTCATGAACTTGGCTCTGATACCAGTTGTTGGCCAGGAACCACGAGATGGATCTCAGATTCAGATCGGATCTGGTAAAGTCAGAGGGCAGCTTGGCCTTGTCCACTTGTTGGAATTGAAAATGCAATGGCTTGTCTTTTACAATAGTATTGCCCCTGCTTTTATGAGCAAGGGGCAGAGAGCATATTCTACTTTCTACCTGATCCAGCATATCTCCTAGCCACTAAAGTGGATGCTGAGCATATTCCTAAATACAAAAGTAAATTGCAGAAAGGTAAGATACAAGTGCTGAGCAGTAGGCTTATCTAGTTATCTATCATATACATGAAAAATCACTTTGAAAATTACACTTACTACTGTCCCAAATTTGGAACCTGCCAAATTTCCAGGTGAACCCTGAGATGGTTGACAAACTTGAGAGCGCCGGTGTAAGTTTTGTCGGTATGGATGAAACTGGACAGAGAATGGAGGTAATGCACTAATGCACGTTGTGTTCACAATCTAGCATATTGAGCTTATGATAATTTGTTGTTCAGAGAACGGCAGGCCAAACAAGAAATCTCATTGCATATATCCGCATGGATGCAGATACTGGAGCTGCCTTCACACCCATATTTTGTGGGAGTTCAGTTCCATCCGGAATTCAAGTCCAGGCCAGGCAAACCTTCTCCGTTATTTATGGGTAAAATTGAGTGGCCCGAACCAATATCTACATCAATTCTCAACATACAAATCAGAGATAATACTTGCTTAGCTTAGAACCGAGTGCAGTGTGATGAGCTTGGTGTACTTGTTTCAGGGCTGATAGCTGCGTCATCAGGGCAACTGGACACCGAGTCGACGAGCCTTGGCCTTGGGAACAGACCTATTCCCATGAAAGTATTGTCCGGATCAAGCTTTGGCTACCCTAGTGGCCGCAAGGATGGCCTCCTTGGTTTGCACAGCTCAGGAGCAGCACTAGCTCGTTAACAGCTCAGTATCAAAGCCAGTGCAACTTGCGTCCTGCTTCCTTACTATGTTAAAGATGTAATCGTGTTGTGTTTGTAAGGTTGTGTAGTGTGGTTAGTTGGCACACGTAGCTTTGGTGACCGCGTCCTTCGCGAGCGCTAGCATCAGGCGTGAGAGTGTCGTGCGCCTAAGAGATCGGATCACGGATCCTTGTAACAATCTTGTCATATAATTTTTTTTACCAATTCTGGGGGGGGGGGGGGAGTTCCCACCCACTTATATTGAATCAAAGGAGCTAAAAGCTCAAACAGTACAGCATACTTCCGGCATACCAGAAGGTGTACACAGAGCAGGAGAGGGAGGTGTGGATAGACAGAGCGGAGAGAGCAAAAGAAGAGTCGATACAGCAACTCAGCACAGGCCACAGGCAAAGCCATGACACCACCCGTCAGACAACTACCAATCACTGAAGAATGCCACCGCCGAACAACATACTCGCCGACGCTGCCCACGATTATTGTGCAACCACACCACCCCTCGTATCTACGCCGATCCAAAGTCATTCTCTGTGATGGGGCACAATAGAAAGGGGACTAAAGGTGGTGAGAAACACTCCAACCAAGGCACGCCGGAGACGACGACCTCCCTTTAAGCTGAAGGCAACACCTTTTGCAGCACATCCGGGCTCCACGTACCATAATCCAATGCCAAAACAAGGGGAGGAATCCTTGAAGGGGAACGACGGAAGAGATGGACCGCCCGGCATAAGATTTAATGACACCACCAACAGGAGACCGCCGACGGAGCAGAGGCACCGAAGGCGGACACTCACCAGGCCTTGACAGGAGTCGAACTTGCAGTGCCAGCCATATCTGTAGCCAGGTAGGCACAAGAGAAGGACGAATCAAGGGGAAACAGGAGCAAATCAGCACAAGCCACAGGCAAGCCATGGCATCAATCGTAAGCCAACCACCAATCACCGAAGAAACACCACCATCGAACAACATACTCGCCAACGCACCATGATTGTTGTGTAACCACACCACCCCTCATAGCTACGCCGGTCCAAAGCCATTCTCTGCGATGGAGCACAATGGAAAGAGGACTAAGGGAGGTGAGAAGCACTCCAACTAGGGCACGCTGGAGATGACGACCTCACTTTGAGCTGAAGGCAACACCTTTTCCAGCACATCTGGGCTCCACATACCGTAATCCAACGCCAAAACAAGGGGAGAAATCCTTGAAGGGGAATGACGGAAGAGGTGGACCACCCGACATAAGATTTGATGATACCACCAACAGGAGACCGCCGACAGAGCAGAGGCGCCGAAGGCGGACACTCTCTAGGCCATGACAGGAGTCGAACTTGCAGTGCCAGCCATGTCCGTCACCAGGCAGGCTCAAGAGATGAACGAAAGAAGCGGGGAGCAGGAGATGCCCCCACACAGGCGACATGGGGCAAGGTTCTGCGGAGGTGGAGCTGCAGGGAGACACAGACTGCAACGATGCCTTCAAGAAGGAGAGCGACATCCATGGACGCCACCATCGTTGGAGGGAGCGGCATGCAGGGATTGCCTTTCGACTCAAGATCGACGAGCAAACATACGGCAGAATGGAAATTTCGACGACGCCTCCAAGGAGGAAGATGATGCGGGCTGCGACACCGCCGTTGGCCCGGAGCTAAGTCCGGGCAGGGCTTTCGCCCAATTTCCAATCCATCACGTGAGCACTCAGACATCTGCATGGCCATCACGACAACAGCTGCTACACGAAGCACAACAAGGCGCAGCCAGCAGCAGCTGCCGGCTGCCCTGCGGCCAGGAGCAGCGGCCAGGTATGCACGTGCGGCCCTGTGGCTAGCAGCAGCAGCTGGGCACACACGTGATGCCCTGCAGCTAGCGGCCGGCTGCCAGCAACCCCGTCCATGGGCCTCCGCCCACGGTCGGCCTAGGCCGGTGGGCCTTGATGACGGTAGCAGCGGCCGGCATGGCCCGCCTCGCCGAGCGGCCAAACCATGGTCACCGAGGATAGCCAGCGGCCAAGGAGCAGCTTGGGGAAGGGGAGGACACACAGCCACCTCTAACTGAAGGGGACGGAGCTGGATCTGCCCAAATCCAAACATCCGGCAACGGATGGCGCGCCACCACGAGCAGCTTGCAGATCCGCGTGAACCACCGCAGGAGGAAGCAGATCCGGGCAGGGCCGCCACAGATCCGCCGGAGAAATGCCGGAAACAGCGAGAAGCCGGTAGCCATTAGAGAGAAGGATGGGAGAGGAGAGGTCACCGCACGCCAGAGCTTTCTAGAGTAGCAGCGGTCCCCGTCGTCACACACTAGGTGGTGGCGATAGCGGCCGGGGATGAGCTATGGCGGTAGAGCTTGAGCCGGCGGCGGCGGTCGCCCCTCCCATCGACCTGAGAGACAACGTGGAGGGGTACGGGACCTGATCCCAAGAGGATCAGTGCGTTCTGGTATTCTTTCATGGTATCAAAGCCTCCACAATCCACAAGCGCCCCGCACTCCATCTCCGGCAACAACTCCACGACCTCCCAGATGCCCATCTCCATGCCTACGCCTACGCCTGTAGCTAGTCATGTCATCAATGTGAAGCTCACGCAGGAGAATTACCTGCTTTGGTTGACTCAGAGCTTCCCTATAGGAGAAGCCAGGGTCTCGTCGGCTATGTGGACGGGTCAATTCCGGCTCCGAATCAGACCATGATGGTCACGCCGTCAGAGGAAACCGGCGGCTGCTGCACCGTCGTCAACCCTGAGTACACCAGCTGGTACAACCAAGATTAGCTTGTGCTTAGCCTCATCAGCTCCTCGATCACCGAGGACATCGTGGCCACATTGGTCCGGGCAACCACAGCACGCGACGCCTGGAGGACACTGGAGAAGATGTTTTCGTCGGCCTCTGATGCAACTCAACATGATCCAGAAGGACTCAAGCATCGCCGACTACTTCGGCCAGGTGAAGCGCCTCAGCGACACTCTCGCCGCCATCGGCAAGCGGCTTGAAGATGAAGAACTCATCGCGTACCAACTGCACGGTCTCGGCCCCGACTACGATGCACTGGTGACGAGCATCACCACGCGCAGCGACACGTATACCATCAGCGACGTCTACGCACACATGCTTAGCTACGAGATGCGACAGGATCACAACAACAACCGCAGCCAGGTATCATCAGTAAACAATGTCAACAGATATCCGTTACGTGGTGGTAGCAACCAAGGTTTTCATTATCGGAAATAAAAATTTATCGGAGGTCATGGATAAATAGGATAAGCAAGATATATCGGAAATATCGGACTAAATTCAAAAAAAATTCAAATTGTTTTGAAAAAAATTCGTAGAATTTGACTTGAAACTATTCCTAAGCTATTAAACATCACTTGTTCACAGATAAAAACAAGAATAAAACATTATAGTGTGGGACCGTCGCACGGCTGAATTTGGGTTGTCTGTGTGGGAGTAGGAAAGAAGGGAAAAATTTAGCCGATGTCAAATTTTATCGGACCCTGTGGATAGAATGGAAATTTCGAAAATTTCCATGAATTTCGACCGATAAAAGAAACCTTAGCAACGCTAGGCGCAACGGTTGCGGCCGTGGCTGCGGCGGTGGTCGCAATAACTGTGGACGCTCCAACCGTCCACCCCAGCGAGGACCTGCGGTCAACAATGGCGCCTCCAGCAGCAATGGGCCACTTTGCCAGATCTATGGCAAACCCAATCATGACGCACTTCAGTGCTATCATCGCTTCAATCTGTCATATCAGGCAGACGACCACGTCAAGCAGGCGGCGACGGTCACCAGTGGATACTCCATCGACCCAAACTGGTACGTAGACACAGGAGCTATACTGACCACATCACCAACGGCCTCGAGCGCCTCACCACCAAGGACCGCTACACTGGATCGGAGGGGATCATGTTCAAGTTGCAAACGGGGCAGGTTTGTCTATTGCTCATATTGGTCATTCATCTATTACTGGCTTAGTTCGACCCCTTCGCTTGAACCATATTCTACATGCCCCCAAGATGAATAAGCATTTGATTTCTGTTCGCAAATTAGCCTATGATAATGATGCTTTCGTCAAGTTTCATCCAAACTATTTCTTTGTCAAGGATCGAGCCACGGAGACTCTACTTCTCAAAGGCACATGTAGAGATGGTCTTTACATCTTGCCAAATAACAAAAAAGCACTCTTGTCAGCCAAAGTCTCTGAAGAACAATGGCATCGACGACTTGGGCATCCAGCAGCACCTGTTACTCTTAGAATCTTGCAGGACAATAATATAGCAGGAGGACCAAGATTTCTCCTTCCTTGATTTGCAATGCTTGTCAACTAGGAAAATCTCGTCAGCTCCCTTTCAGTATCTCTGACTCTGAGCATGTATCTACTGCACCTTTACAGTTGATTCACACTGATGTAACATCAGTGAATAATTCAAAATATTATATGTCGTTCATTGATGATTATAGTAGATATGTCTGGATTTACTTTCTGAATTGCAAATCTGATGTTGAACCTATATTCTACCAATTCCAAAAACATGTCGAACACATTGTTTATTTCAAAAATCCGTTCAGTTCAATCGGATTGGGGGGTGGGGGGGGGGGAATATCAGCGTTTGCACCGTTATTTTCCAAATTCAGGAATAGATCATCGCATCTCGTGTTCTCACACTCACCAGCAAAATGGGCTGGCAGAGCGAAAACATCGACACCTTGTCAAAACTGGCCTCTCCCTTCTCGCTCAAGCTCAAATGCCACTCCGTTTCTGGGATGAGGCATTTAACACTGCCTGTACCTGATCAATAGGATGCCCAGTCGTACAATTGACAATGACAGTCCCTTGCATAAACTTCTTGACACACGTCCTGATTATTCTATTATTCTAGATTGCGAGTATTTGGTTGTGCCTGCTGTGAAATTAGTTGAACGTGATACCCGTTGGGGTTCACGGCTCCGTGTTGCCCCCATCGTGGTTATACAACAGATGGTGTCTTGTGTTA